ATGTCCGTCGCCCCCCCGGGGGAAACGGCCGCACCGAGAAATCTTGTAGTATATGCGTCGTGGCGGGCGCTTTCTGGCCACACTGCTCGGGATACGATGTACGACAAGATGGGTATACTATGTCGTCGGGTCGGACGCGCGTCTCCAAGGAAGACATCTAGTATTAGTATGTCTCTGAGCGTCCCATCTTCTCCACGGCGCACCCTCCCATCGATGGCGGAGAGGTTGCGGGCCTGCCCAACGGTCATGTGCTCTGTTTCGGACATGGATGTCTTGGGGTCTCTGCAGAAGCACGGATCATGACGCCACGTCGCTGAGGCGCGCGACCATGCTGGGCCCGTGAACCCGCCGGCCCGAGGGTCCGAAGGCGTGCGCGATGCAGGGTCCTTCTAGGTAGGGCTCCAGGGGGTCCGGGGGCCCCCCGAAGGGTTTTGGTCTGGGGCCGGGCTCTCTCAGGGCCATTCCTGGAGACCGCGGCAGGCCGGACCGTTTCTGCCCACCCGAGACGCGCGGCGGCTTTCATTTTCTTGGACTCTTGCGCTCGTCGCTGCAGCATTGTCGGGACCGGCTTGGCAGCATTCGCGTCGTATTTGTCCTCGGAGAAGTCGCCCGCCTAGACGGCGAGGAAGTCTGTCAGCGCGACGTCGACGCCCCCGAAGTCCTGCCTCGCGAGCCCGGTCTCTTTCTCCGCGGCGTTGTACGTCCGGGGCAGAAGGAGGTCCAGCACAGAAGTGGATCAGCCTCCGGTCCGTGATCTGTTGCATCAGGTGGGGCTCGACGTAGGATGCGATGTCGGCGCGGGCGCCGTCCTTGTGCTCATGACTGGAGGCATTCGCGAGCCTCCAGAGAACGCTACCGATTCAGGAGCTCCCCATTCGGCTCCACGGGAGATCCTCCGAAGCTGTTCAGAAGCTCCTCAGGGGCGCCTCAGACGCGCTTGAGAAGCTCCTCAGAACCTCCTCAGAAGAAACGCTTCAGACACGCCTTAGAAGCTCTTCAGAAGTTCCCCAGAAATTCTTCATATGCTCCCCAGAAGTTGTTCAGACACACCTCGGAAGTTGCCTAGAAACTCTCCAGAAATTCATCAGCAGCGCTCCATAAACAGCCCCAGTGCTCCTCGGAAGCTCTTCAGTAGCTCTGCAGAAGCTTCTCAGAAGCTTCCATCGGAGAATGTACCACATTACCGTGGAAGGTATCAGTTGTCCGGGACGAAAGGGAGCGTAAACGAAAGGATCCGGGTCAGGCCAAGGTGAGGGTCAGGCCAAGGTTGGAAAAGTCAGCGTCAGGCAAATCTAAGCACGAAGTGTGGCCGCTCGGGGCATAGGCGGGTGAGGTACGGTCATGCTCTCGTGTAGTAGAGGAGGTTTGCTCGCATCACACACACACACACACTTCCAAACTCGCGTGGTGTTTGGTAGCAATCCTCTGGTCACCGATCCCGAAGCCTCTGCAGCACTATTGGGGCGGGTGGGAAATGAAAGGGAAAGGAAACCTGTTGTGCGCAGATGGTGTTTCTGCTCCACCGCCGAACACTTCCCTGTACACACGGCCGCCTCCAGCGCGAGGAGGCTCCCGGAACTCAAGTTGCGCGCAGCTGGTTTCCTCACCCTGGTTGCCAACATCCCCTTTCGTCTACCCTGGCCCTCAAAGATTTCCAATTGGTCCTCGGAAGTTTCTCGGGGTTCTCGGAGATTGGGGCCCGTTCCAGCAGGCAGAGCTCGACGAGAGCTTCCAAACGGTGGCGATAATGTCCCGATCCGCCTTCTGCGGGCTACGTTGTAGTTCTGGAGCCAGCGGCACGGGGCCTCGACGCTGATATTTGGGCGCCCTTGAACACATAAGTACGGCCAGTGTTCCTCCTGCCCTGGCCCCAGGACCTGATGGATCGACCCTGATCGCTCGTGTGTTCTAGTTGATGCAGTCCAGAGGTCTGGTCGTGTTGTTGTTCGTGGCGCCGGTGCTTTACCAAGCCACGTCGGATGTCGGGCGTCGCTTGGGCCAAACCGCCCAGATGGTTCACAAGGTTCGGCTTCCATTACGGGGCTTCTCCTCCTCCTCCTCCTCCGCCTCCTCCGCCTCCTCCTCCTCCTCCTCCCTCCTCCTTGTTCTCCTCTTTTTCTGTCCTCGACGCCAAGAGGCAAGGGTTTCGACACTCGTTCTGGAGGCTGCCAGCTTCCAGGATTGAAGGCCGTCAGCCTCCACCCAAGCGGAAGAGTGCGTGCTCCGCTCTTGGTGCTGAAGCGCCGCTTTGTGAGTTCTGGGGCCCTCCGTGGAGGGGGGGGGGAGGGAGCAGGTGAGGGGGGGGGGGGGGAGGTGG